CGCTGCCTGCGGGCGCGGGTGAGCTCGGGGAAGGTGCTCCGGTGCACGAGGCTGTGGTGGAGTTCGGGTAAAAGCTTGTGAGCTACTTGGTAGGTAGGGAAGCGCCAAGCACCTCTGCGTGCAGCATATGGCTTCTAAGGAAGCGTATAGAGTTAACCTTGAGCAAAATAAGCTTGATGTATGTGTTGTATGTAATAGATACAGAAAGCTCTCATTTAAGAGCTATGGTCTGCTGATGGCTTTTACAGGTCTGAGGTATGCTTTCTTAAAGACACTGTGGTTTAGTACTGAACTCCTAAGTTGTACAGTTCTCTCTCCAAGTGAAACTCTTCCTCTTGTTCACATGCAGTAATTTAAAGAAACTGCATATTAATGAACCCTGTTATTTGTAATTTTGTTTCTCATAGACATACTATTTAGCAGATCAATGAAAGTAATAACTTAAAAAGCAAAGCAAACAAAAACGCAGCTCAAATGTTTATAGACATTCCTGTGGGACTTCAGGCTATCCCAGTCACTGTTTAAAAAAAAAAAAAAAAAAAAGTTAGTATGTGTAGTTTGGTTCCTGAAAAGTAATTGAGAGATAGTACTTCTTGTTGTGAAATGAATTTTTTGGGTAATGAGCAATAAAGAATAAAGTGCAACTTATTTTCTTATGTAATATTGGAAATGTAACAAAATACTGCACTTAAAACTTCATGTCAGCAAGAAGGAAAAGGGTTGTGGAAAACATGCAGAATTGAATATGATGTTATGGTTAATTATAATATTAATAATCACTAATCTGTTCTTTTAAACAGAATTATCTTCACAGAGAAAATTTGATGAAATTAAGAAGGCTAACCAGGCTGCAGCAAAAAAGCTGGTTGAAGACCAGCTGAGTTCCTCATCTGAAGATGATGATGAAGATGCCGAAGGAAAGCAGGGAAAGATTTTGGCCAACACATTTACCATTTATACAAGTCAAACTGGTAAAGTGTTTTCATATATTTACTTTTATTAGTATATAATAGAATAGACAAAGTTGAGTTACTGGCTACTTGTTAGAGTTTTGGATAACTGAGGGAAAGATGCTTACTCCAGTATTTGTATATTCTTATAAAAAATATTAATTCCCAGCAGTGCAAGCTAGCTGTATTTCCTACCTTTTTGCATAGAATCAATATATAGTTTCGTAACTGTCTCAAATACTTCTAATAAGTTTTGTAATAATATGTAACTGGCCTCTGTCCGGAAAAAAAAAATCCAGTCTAAACATGCAGAGAATGGCAGATGAAATGTTACTGATTGTTTTGAAAATATTTATACATTAAAGATGGAGATGCAAGTGAACTGGAACGTACAAGACAATACATGAATGAGGCTTTTCAGTCTGGGGCTATGACATGTCTGATCTGCATTGCTTCAGTTAAAAGGAATCAAGCTGTAAGTATTTTACAGAAGCTTTAAGATATTATTCGTATTAATAATTAGGAAGCAACTGTAACTGGCTGGATAACTTTAATTATATTACCAAAGTGATTCTTGGAGTTGTGAACTTTAAAATGAGAGGGTACTAAAAGCTACATCTGTTCTAGATTTTTCAAACCCTTATTTCTGTCATGCTTATATATACATAGCTTGTAATCAGAATATGCAATTCTTAATATGTTTGTGTTAATAATATGCAACATTTTTTTTTGCGTTGCAGAGAGTAGCAGACAAAAAAACTACAGGAAGTCCAATACGTGTAGTAATATATTCGTTAAGCATTGATGCTGCAGAGTTGTAGTTACCAGAGGAGAAGATACTAGGAAATGAGAAAATATTACATTTATAGTAGGGAAGCTAAAACTTTATTGTTACAGATGTCAGTAAGGGAAGGGAGGTTGGGAGATAAACAGTTTGGTCCGAGTGTCTGAGCTTTTATGTCATGTAGCTACATTTCTTTCATGGGAGAGGCTTCAGGACCAATCTTCCCGAGAGTTAATGTAACTTCGGTTTGACTTTGTCCCATACCTGTTTCTGCTTTAGTTATATGCCTCAAATATAAAAGCAATGGGCCCTTGTCTGCAATGGTATGTTTAGCATTTAGAGGAAAAAAAAAAGTGCAAAAAAGCTTTAACTTCTTATGTTGTATAAATACTAATTGTATCTAATGAAGTTGTGGTCATTAACCTTTTTGAGAAAAAATATATTAAAACTCATTACTCAAATGGAGTAACTTCAGACTTTGAAAAATAATTATGGTTTGATTTTTAAAGTCTTCTGATGAAAAATTAGATTAACTATATCAAGAGACAGAAGTGAGATGATTTGGAAACTTTGAAGTCTTCTGTTATATCTCAATGGTTTGTTAATTGTCCTGAGTGTTTCAGTCAAATATATTTATTTAGGGTCTCCTATTCAGCTTTAATTTTGGAAAGCTAGATACCAACCTTCTAGAAACTCATGTCATTAGTTTTACTGTCTGTAAGTAAACAGAAAAAATCTTGTTGTCATAGTAGGATTTTATAATCTGAGTAAACAGAAAAAATCTTCTTGTTGTCATAGTAGGATTTTATAATAATAGCATAAGTGATATCATTTTTAAAAAAGTTTAAACTTAATTTTACTGCTGCATTTCAATTATCAAATTGATACTTTCCACATATGGATGCGTGAACCATTGTCAATTTAGAGTGGTTGTAACAAAATCATAAAACTGCACTTACAGTGTTTAAATTGCTTTTAAGCAGCAGACAGATGAATCAAAACATTGTGATTTCATTCCAGAACTGCCATAACAGTGCACTGAGAACAAGGACATTAAGATTTAGTAAGGGAAACAATACTGGCAAAGCTAATTATTGCTTAAACACATTTGTTTTTAATTCTGTTCAGTTTTATACCTCTCCTGTCCTTTGAACAGTAGACTGTGTGTTGAAAGACGCACTTCTACTTAAATTCCTTACTAAGGGAGAAATCTGATACAGTTCATGACTCCCTGGAGGGCAGTTGTGAAGACAGTGAATCCAAGCTCTTCTCTGTAATAACACAAGATGTAAAATGGGGCAGTGACACAAACTGAGGCTGGGAAAGTGTAGGCTGGATAATAGGAGGGTAGTGCGGCACTGTGGCAGGTTGCCCAGAGCACTTGTGTAGTCTCTAGTCTTCCAGGTTTTCTGAACTTCAAACTTGTCTGGACTGACTTGTGTATGGCTGACCTGAGCTAAGTAAGCAGTGGTCCCGTGTCAGACAGGAGGTTGGGCTAGATGACCTCAAGAGATGTGTTCAAAACAATATTTCTATGGTAATAGGAAGATATTTTTACTACAGTGAAAGCTACAGTGAAAATTTTCAGCAGTAGGAAGAAAAGATAACCAAAGGATGATTCTCTAACAGTAAAACTGTATTAATCTTACATAGCAAGAAGTAAAATCTATATTTGGAAAGCCCTTTTTAAAGTGTGAAAATAACAAGCTGGTATTTGTTAGGTAACAGGGCTTTTCATCAATTGAAAGCAGACGAAAACGAATACAGAGCAATCTGTATTTATATCTTTTATTTTCTTTTAAGGTCTGGAGCTGTTGCGGGTGCTTTTGTATATTTCACTTGCCATGTATCCAGAAGTGGGCCAAGGACAGCCTTTTCCTTGTTTCTTCTCCTTTGACGGATGATGATTTTGGAAAGAAAGATTATCCGTGGCCATGGTGAGCTGTTCGTGGTACATTTAGTAAAAGGCTTTTGTTGTGGAAAGCATTTGAACTGGAGTTTCTTTAGAAAGGAACAGAACTTGTAAATGAAAAACTGGAAGAATAAATTTAGAAGACTTAGCGTTTTTTTTAATTAATTTGAAGCTTTCACTAACATTATTCATTTAATAGTGGTATTAAATAGTGTATCAAATTTTGTTTTAACTTGTGAAAAGTAGTAGCTTATTATGTGTTCCAAATTCTAATATTTAAATAGTTTTAAGTATTTGAATGTCAGTTTTAAAATCAGCACTACTGTGTGCAGTAAAAGAAAATCAGTTTTGAAATAGAAAGGTTCAGAGATTTCTAGTCCCTGTATCATATATAAGGCAATGTGTGATGGCTAGTCTTATATTTGCAGACTGACTTTTGTTTAGGAACTTAGGAATTTCTAGTGATTGAGACACCTAACCTCCTATCAAATCTGGTTGAAAGTACCTCATGGTTTCAGAATCTCTGGCATTACAGGATCTGAGGCATCCAGGTTTGCTTAGGAAATGAGCTGAACTATTGTTGGCAGGCAATGTCTCAAGTTCTGTACAGGATGGCAGTGCCTGTTCAGCTAAAATACTAGATTCATTTTTAAACACAATTTTTATAGAATTTCAAGGCAAATGATAGTTTATTTAACATTTGAGCACACGGTAAAGTGTTTTAATTGCTTTATAAAAAGTCTTATGGCCTTTAAGATGGTTGCATTGCTAAGTTATTTGACAAAAATGAGTGCTTAGGTCTTTTCTACTTCACTAAGAGAAGCTCCCTGTCTGGTTACACAGATGGAGCTACTTAGTTTCCTCTTCCACCTGTCACTTCCCTTATCCATGGCTTGCATCTGAAAATGCTTAGGGTCCGTAACACCAACAAACTCTAGATAAATAAAAAAATAATTTATTCCTAAAAGTAGACAGGCACCAAATATCTGATGTTCTCAAGGCTTACAAAGAAACATACATGCATTATAATTCACATTGTTCTCTAATCTATAAGAAATGCAATAGCTAAGAAGCTGAACTGGTATAATGAAACTCGTGTTAATTATTATGTATAGTTTTAATAGCCACATTAAATCTCATTTTATGCAGCTTAAAAATATTTTTACCAGTAGAGATTTCTATCTTGTTTTTATTGATTCTGTGTAAGAAGGTTAACTCTTTGTTGTGTAAGCTCCTTTGGTGGTATTTGGAATAAAAATGCTTATAGGTGCTTGCCCTGCTCCTTGTCTTTGTGTATGTGCTTATAGAGGAAAGCAAGATTGTAGTGGTAGGACAATTCCTTAGGCATACTAACAAATATCTGTTGTAAAACCTGACATATAGCAGGACCTTTGCGTGTAATAAATGTGTTATTATTGGTTACGCTAGCTTTAAAAACCAACAAAAAATATTAATCAGTAGCTTGGTAATTGTCTTGGCAAACTGAAATGATAACAACTTTCTCTCCCTCTGCCTCCTTCCTCTGTTTTAGTCCAAAATGTAGGTTTGAATACAAACGGTCTGAAACTCCGACTAGATATTACTGTTATTGTGGAAAAGTGGAAGATCCAGCACTGGATCCATGGCTAGTACCTCACTCCTGTGGTCAAGTGTGCGAGAGGGAATTCAAACCTCCTTGTGGGCATAAGTGTTTGCTGCTTTGTCATCCAGGTAAATCTGTTGCATCTCTTGATTAGATTACCTGCATTTATGCAGTTGTGATACAGTCTTACTTAAAATCTGTTTGCTTCATCCGAAATTCTCGGAAGAAAACAAGTATCAGTTAAAATTGCATTCTGTTAAATAGCCAGCAGTGAGATATTCTTTTTTTCCCCGTACTTAGGACCTTGTCCTCCTTGCCCAAAGATGGTCACGACAACCTGTTTCTGTCAGAAAGCCAAGCCAGTTCCCCGAAGGTGCAGCGCGAAGGAGTGGTCGTGTCGTCTGCCGTGCGGGCGGACGTTGCCGTGCGGGCAGCACACCTGCGAGAACCCTTGTCACTCAGGTACACCTGCCCCCTGAAATTTCAGGGGACTAATCGCCTTCATTTGTTAAGCACTCATTGCTCCATTCCAATTTATATTTAAAAGAAACTTCACAATCACCCTTAGGAAATTGTAAGCCTTGTCCACGAGTCAGTAAGCAACAGTGTATCTGTGGAAGACAAACAGCAGAAAGGCTTTGTGCAAGTCCTCAGTGGCAGTGTGATCAGGTAAGCTGCATGTGAGTGCACTCCGTAGATTTTTTTTTTTCTTCATCTTAGAAAATGTGGTTGTTTTTTAATGTGGAGATTGAAAAGCAAAAAATATTTTTATTTGCAGTTTAACTTAAAACTAAAATAGGCCGTACTGGTGGATTTACTTTGTGGCCTAATTCGTTTCTGACAATAGTTTTTTGCCATTTTGAAATTTTGCTAGCCTAGGACAGTGAATTTGACCTCGTATAATTTCTTTACTTTGTACTTTTGATTGAAATTTCAATTGTCATCTTCAAAAATAAGTATGAAACAACAGCTTAGTAGATAAGCTTCATGCTTGTTTATTTCTAGTGGCCACTAATAGAATGAAAGTTTTCTGATTCATTCTTTGAAATGTATTTGTAGCTCATTCTTAGGACTAAAGCTATGGACTGATGGGCTGTAAAAATTCATAAAGAGGGCAGAGGAGCAGCGGGAGATTCTTTGGTGTTGGCAGACTCTACAAACATAGCATTGACATTTGTTAGTAAAATTGTTGCAATTGACTTTTCATTGCTCAAAAAAAAAGTTTAATCCCATGTAGACATCTACCACTACCTCTACTTCTGCCCTCTCGGTTGGCGCCTTTTTTTTTTTTTTTTTTTTTTTTTTTTGTGAGGGGGATTTGTTGCTTTATGTTGCATTCACTTGGAGTTTTCTGAGTTTTTCAGGTGTGCGGGAGAACTTTGCCTTGTGGTAATCATACATGTGAGCAAGTCTGTCATGCTGGTCCCTGTGGAGACTGTCCTCGTTCTGGAAAAAGGTCCTGTCCCTGTGAAAAATCAAGTAAGCCTCCTCCTCTTCCTCCTCCCTGCCTCCCCACTGGAAAATGCTTGTTTGTGGCAAGGCTTATTAAAAATAATGCCCCCCCCCAAAAAAAAAAAAAAGACAGCATTAGGCTGTGAGTATTTTAGGTCACTTCTACATTGCAGGGTTCATAAGAAGAAGTTCATACTAACTCTTTTGTTTAATTCTTTTAAAGGCTTATTTAGAAACAGGGTTTTAATTGACTACGTGGATAAATCCAGAGAAGCTTTTCAAAAGTGGGAGAGAATCAGGGTATTCAAAACCATGTTGCTTTAATGGCATGTTTTTCTCTTTCTCCTTTCCCCCCACCCTCCAATCTTGCTTGCCTTTTGTCTAGAGTTTACGCTGCCTTGCACAGAAGATGTGCCTACTTGTGGTGATAGTTGTGACAAAGTTCTAGAATGTGGCATCCATAAATGTTCACAGCGCTGTCATCGAGGTCCCTGTGAAATATGCAGACAGGTTAGTCTTACTGTAGTATGTTCACGTTTGGTTAGGATTTTGAAAAATCTTGCAAAGTCTACAACTTTCTGTTCAGGAAATGCAGAACAGCATCCTTCTCCCAAATTTGAATTAACACTTGTGCAGATTTATCAGGTGTCTCGGAGAACTTCATGGCAGTGGTCAGTTACTGAAGCAGGGATCAGTTTGTATTTTTTTTTAAGCATCTTTTAAAACATGCTTACATTTATTCCAAGTCTTCTAGCTTCATTCCAGTTGCTCTCTTAGTATGGTATTTCTTCATTAGTGAGATTGAAGATGCTGTAATGTAATATTATTTGCTTGCTAGTAAGAAGATATTTTGTTATGTCCTGAATATGTTTTGAGTAGCTTTTATGGTCTGGCCTGTAAAGCTGCTGCTCTCTGCTATCAGTTGTCTTTTGTGGACCAGTCCTGGCTACAAAGCCTATTGCAGAAGTAGTTAACTGGAATGAAAGTCAGATAAAGCTGCTTTTGTAGTTCTTAAATAACGTGGATACGTGAAGCTACGTTATCAATTTACTGTGCAAGAAGAATTCTTTTTTTTTTTTTTTTGTATGACCTTGTCTTGCATTTGCGCTTGGGATCCTGCAGAACCCACCTGAGTGTCTTCCTGGATGTGTTCTCCCTCCTGGTGGCCCCAAGGGTGGAATTATGCAGTGAGAGGTCATCTGAAGCGCTCTGCTTGGAATGTTGACCCAGTTTCTCCCATAGTGGCTGCTCCGTGCATACATGGTGCCTGTCCAGCCTCGGCAGCTTGCCTAAGCTTTCCGACTCCTAAACTGGCAGTGTGGATACAGCAAATCAAAAGTCTGTCCTTTGCATTCAACTGCATCAGATGCTAGTGTGGATGTATGTGAAGAGACATTTGGGGTACAATTTGGAGACAAAACACAGAGAAAGATAATCACGATCTGAATGTGAAGTTGTGTATGTTGTGCTTGAAACATTGTAATGCTACCATCAAAAAAAGTTGTCTTTACAGCTCTGAGTAGAAGTTTTTTTTTCCACATATTGCTTGGATGCTGGATTGTGTGTGGTGTTATATTTATTTATCCTGTTTTTCTTTCCCTGCCTTGCTGCCCAGGAAGTTGAGAAGCAGTGTCGCTGTGGCAAGCACACCAAGCGCATGCCGTGTCATAAGCCATATCTGTGTGAGACAAAGTGCACCAAAATTCGGGATTGCCAGAAGCACCAGTGTAAGAGAAAGGTAAGTGTCTAGAGGTGATCTGTTTCAAATGTGTCGCTTGTATACTCATAAGGTGCTGAATGTTATTCTCAACTGCCAATGTAAAAAGGCGGGCACCCATCATTCTGCCTCTTACAGGATCACACACACAAACCAGCAAGTGTTTCTGGCTTTTTACTTCAGTTTTCAGAATAGATGGGGTAAAAGGGTAGTGAGTTATGTAGTGAGCAGCCCTTGGCACTAATTTCAAGAGAGAAGGAACTACTGAGTCACCTAATGTAAAAGTCTTTGAATGGTGTTAATGGGACTGTCTTAATAGGACCTTCTTTGGGCCTTTTCTGTGTTTTTGAGGAAATGGTTACTAAATATTGCAATAGGAGGTTTGCTAGGATTTTCATTTTCTAGGCTGACTTCTGTGGTAGAATATGATCCATAGGTATTCAGACACCTTTATACACCTGATGTGAATTTGAGGAAATTTGACTAAATTGCATTAATACTTTTTTCTTTTTCTTTTTTTTTTTTTTTTAAGTGCTGTTCTGGAAACTGTCCACCTTGTGATCAAGTCTGTGGGCGGACTTTAGGCTGCAGAAATCACAAATGTCCTTCTGGTTGCCACAGGGGTAAGATTAGGCAGCAAGTTCTTAGTGGTGACATAATCTTATTGTAGTGTGGATGGATGTTTTAATTTTGCCAAGCATAGTGCCCGTATCATCCTGTGTGGTGCTTAGTGGAGCCTCGTCCTCTGTTGGATGTGGATTTTTGCGGGTAACAGGGTATTTGAAGGATTTCTAAAGTGTCAGTTAGAGCTTAAGGGCTTACCTAATAATAATAATAATAATAATAAAAATCATACCTGGTTTTTATACCAATTTCCTGGTAATTTTCCTTGGCAGCATTCTGCTAAAAGTGCCTTGCTGCCATCAACTGCTTAATATCAATTTGTAGCTTGACTTCTCCCTGAGTAATTCTGTTAAATATACATAAGAAAAATGTTCACTTATGTACAGAGATGGCTACTGGTTGAACTCATATGGCTTTAAAAACTCTTAAAATACAATGTGTGATACTAGTGGGCTTATAAACTGAATAATATTGGAACTGCAATATATGTTGGTAACAATGAAAATAAAACTTGTTGCTGACTATACAAAGGCAATAGGAAGAGTTTACAGCAGCAACCAGAGAACTTAGTTAAGAAGGAAAGAAGCTGAAAATAATCAAAATTCCTTGGTAGCTTTTATCATGTCTAATTGCTTTGGCATTCACCTGGTAGGGGATTAAATTAGAATTTATTTAATAATAATTTAATAACTGATTTTTATTTGATAGTGGTTGTATTTACAACCTGTCTGGAAGTGACATTAATAATTTCTAGGGACAAATGGCAATGTAAAAATAATAAAGCAGTACCTATAATAAAACAAGCAAAAGTAGACTTTGAAAATGTAAGCATAAAATACGTGTATTTAAAAATGTGTGTATTTAATGCATCAAAACAGTACAGTTGTCAATATTCAAACATTTACTTTTGCCAAAAGTTATATCTAACGAGGCTAATAACTGTGATACCAGATCAGGTTTGAAAAGAAAACTTTTGTTTGCATTGGTGAATTGTAATCGAATGAATTTAATAATGGCTTATTAAAATGTTTGAAAGTGTTTCTCATGAAGACACTGATTTTGGCCTCAAAGTGTTTATACTGATGCTGCCTTCTCTTTTCCCACTGCCCCAAATATTTTTGTAGCTACTTGTTTACTTCAGAATATAATACTAGGTCAGATTACTTCATAGTGAGCGAACAGCCCTCAGTGACCACTAATTTCTTTCCAGAGAAGAACCTGCCAAGTCAGGTCCTTGAAGGTCCTTCTGCGCTCACAAGTATTAGAGGTCGCTGGTACTAAGCACTTGGCATTTAGCAGTGGTCCCTAAGAAAAGGTCACCTAATCTAACCTGGTTTTGATGTGAATTTACGTATCTTATCTTAAATATTTACGTTTAGATTGTATTGCCAGGGGACAGAAATACTTCGTACTGTAGTACATTATAGATATTTGGGAACAGTATGCCCTTGACCTAACTTCAGGCTAAGAAGTGAGCTCTGTCCTTCCATCCTTCTAAGAAAGTAGACAGTTGTCTTCATTGATATGATGTTTAAGTAAATTATGCATATCTTTGCCACTCTGGGCAACATAACTTTAGTTATGATATGAAAGCATAGCTTTAGTTTAGACTATCAGTTTACAGGATAAACATAGCTGTTTATCTCTCCTGCTTAATATATTACACATTTTACTTGGCAATATGAAATTGTATACTTCCATCCTTTTTTTCTTCAGCAGCTTTTTGTCATTGTGAGATCTAATTGTTGGAGTGTTGCCTCTTGGATCCTGTTAAGAAGTCATAATTGTTTGAAAGGTTGCGCTGTGAATGGCACTCCCAAGGCATAGCTTTTTTTTAAAGGTTTTAGTAAGCCAAACTGATTATGATTAGTAAGCCAAAACCCCAAGTCTAAATTTCCTTTTTTTTAAAGAATAGATGTACTTACAGTTCATTACTCAAAACCCAAAAGCTTAGCAGATGACTAAGAAGAAATAGTCTGGGAAATCTATAAAGTACAGATATTTTACTGTTATTCTTTTTTTTTTTTTTTTTTTTTACTATATCAGGTTGATAGCATGAATAGGTTCAAAAACGAGGAAAATCTATCTGGAAAAAAAGACATGCTATTAATTATACAGATAAGATAAACATTTCCCTACTACCACCCAATCCCTAATATGCAGAGCTGCAAAAGAGCATCTTTCCAGTTTTCTGAAATGTCTTTTTCTTTTGAAAATCAATGAAAGATTATAGCATGTCTTCATATGTGTTCAAGATTGAAGTACAGCTTTGAAATGTTGCATGATCCAAAAGAAGAGGTTCTAATGATGCTGGCCTATCTTTTAAATACGTAGGTGTAAATATGTAGGTGAAACAGTTTCTAATTTGTGTTACAACTGTGCAACTGGTATTCAATCAGAATTATTATTGCTACTATTTTAGAATGGACAAGATAACCAAAAATTAATAGCTTTGTTATTAAGACAAAATAATAATCCTGAGTACCCAAAGCGTATGGTATAATGTTGGTTACTGTTTTTACAGTCAGCTTATTCAGGTGATAATTTTGTTAATATATTTATTTCAGGTAGCTGTTATCCATGTCCAGAGACTGTAGATGTGAAATGCAACTGTGGAAAAACTGTCATTAAAGTGCCCTGTGGCAGAGAGCGCACCACGAAGCCTCCCAAATGCAAGCAGCTGTGCAGGTCAGTATAGAAAAGGGGTACATTTCTAGTTCTTTAGTGGAGTTCAGGTGTCCTTAAGGAAAGTAGTGCAATACAGCTGTTTAGAAGACAAAAATGACTTACCTAATATGGCATAGGTATTACTTCCCTGATTTTCTCTTTTCTGGATTATGGAGATGGAGTTAGCAGTCATCCTTGCTGCTGCCAAGGGGCAGTTCTGTCCCACCAGCCACTGCTAGATCTTCAGGTCCCCTCTGCCCTTTGAGTCAGCCCTGGTACTACTTTGAAGTATCTCTGTGAGACAGGTTAGCTAGAAAACTAGACTAACAAAAGCTAAAGGGGGAGTAGTTTCTTTTGGGGAGTGTAGCAAGAATAACTGGCCCATAGTAGAGCTTGGAATGAAACACCTGATTGACTAGGCAAGTACAGCTTTGACTGTCACTTCATTTAGAACTAGTGCATAAATTACTGGTAATGTTAACCACTGCTTTTTAAAACTTATTTTAAAAAACGACTTGTTCTTTTCAATTCTTTGTGTTTCGAGCACAACTGTCTGATTTTAACTTATATTTCATGTTCATGAAATATATTGATTAATTCTTGGATTTTACTTCAGTCGACCGCCCACCTGTCACCACCCTACCCAGGAGAAACACTACTGTCACTTTGGTCGATGTCCTCCGTGTCGTCAGTCCTGCCAGAAAACATTGACGTGTGGTCATTTGTGCCCTGTTTCTTGCCACGATGAAGCACTTGTGAAGCAAACTGGCTTGGTAAGGATATAGTGAAATATGGTTTGTTGTTTGTGTTCTGTTGAGCAAGAAACAATTATTTGGTGCAATGCTGGGGATTTCTTAATTCCATCGTAATTAAATAACTGAGCATAGGTGTGCGTATGTTACTACTTAACTGAGTAAGTGAAATGGGTCTGGTTGTTACGTTGTCATCCAATCCATATTTTATTATGTATTCTGTGAAACTTTGAGCAGTTAAAATTACTTAAGAAATGACGTGTTGGCTAGAGTTCTTTAATTTTTTATGTCAAGTTGTGAACATAGCAAAAAGTAAAGGTTAGAGAATATCTGAGTTAACTTGAACTGTTAGTTTGCGCTAGTTAAAGTGAGAAATTGTTGGGATATTTAAACATGCAGCATGTATGCATTGAATGAAGGTAACTTCATATTTTTTCTTAATTTAAACAATATAGCCATAGGCCTTCATTTTCCTGTTCTTTGCCATATCAGAAATGCTAATTCTGGAGTTCTTTGATATTACAATTAGTAGAAGCAATTACTCACTGGAAAATAGATTTCTTATATTGAGATCTTTCTAGATGATAAGGGTATTTGTAGTTGAGTGATTGATTCCAGTTGTGTGTTTTCCTCAAGTGCTGTTGTACTTTGCTCCCAGCATCAGCCTGCAGGCCCTTGGGAACAGCCGTCTGAGCCAGCCTTTATCCAAACTGCATTGCCCTGCCCTCCCTGTGAGGTTCCAGTATCAGTGTAAGTATAAAGAAAAAGAAGAAAACAGGAAAAAAAAATCCCCATCATTATAAGGATGTGCATGGAAAATGCTGTGTTTTCTTCTCTATATACAGTGAACATATGTAAACACCGTTCTAGTACCCATTTTATTAACATGTGGTCATTATTTAAAAGGACAGGTGGCATAACTATAGAGTGGTTGTTTCTAAGACACATTTTGTACAGATGTTTACCTTAAACATATCAAAATTGAAAAGGCAGCCACTGTCTTCAGTGACACAGTTATGTATATATTTCTCTAAAAATAAATAAGAGATGAAGTTGTAAATATAAGAGTAGACTAATTACACAGTTTTCTGTGTAGTTAGAGCCAAAGGAGAATGTATTTGGAAGAAATTCAGTTAATTTTTTAAAATAAAAGTTACTTATTCATGCATATCCTATTGATTAATCTGCACATGAAATTTTGATTCTGGGATTACTGCTGTTAAATCATGTAAGCCAAACAGCTATTGAAAGAGAGAGAGCACTGACCTGCATAGATGGATAATATTCTCTTAACTCATGGACTGTTGTGCTACAAACGCAGACTAGATACGGACCTACCTGTTTAGCTGCATGTGATGCCTAGGTTAGCCTCACCTAAGCATTTTTGATATGCATTGCATAGTTTTCTTGAAAGGCACTGTCACCACTTTCAGTCCCTTTCTTACAGAGATAAATGTTTTTCTCTCTTTTTTTTTTTTTTTCTTTACCAGGGAGTGTCTTGGACAGCATGAGGTAAGTCATAAAATTGCCTTTTGAAATGGAATATGAAGGATATCTTTAATGTTGCACTGCAAAAAGATATTAGCAAAATATTCTATGACTTTTCTGCATTTTAAAATCAACAAAGTACACTTTCACAAGGGCTTAAATAGTGGAGCATGTTTTAGTACCTTATCGAAGAATACGTAGATACTTGACCTTTTAGACTTCCTGGTCAAAAGTTTAAACTCATGATTTATAGAGCTATTTGCGTAGCTTTGCATGGTTGGTTAACTGGTATTTAAATTGATGACTTTTTCATTACTTGCCATATCTCTGTTTTTTTCTTACTTTATGGCTCTTCTTCTTTCTAACTCCCGTGTCTAAATGTTTCCATTTTAAATGATGGATAGGAACAGTGCTGTATGGGAAAATTCTTAGTGACTTGGAACTTTGTGGATAAAAAAGGACAATGTAGTGGAAACTCTTCTCCTGTGCTACTTGTTACATTTTCTGTTGTTATTCAGTATTCTCTAACCTATAAGAAAGCAATTATATATTTTGGCTTGCTTTAGAAGAAAATTAATATCCAAAGGCTAAAAGACTGTTTCAAAAAAATGTTAACTGCTTTCTAGAATTTTCCATATTAATATGGAAATATTAAAATGGAATTACATTTGTTACAGTTAGTATCTTTTAAATAATTTATTAATTTGTGTTGTATTTTTTGATAAAGTGAGCATGTATTCTGGTATTGCAGGTATACAAACTCTGCTGTATCAGCAGTCTTTCATGCTGATATATTCTTGCAGTGCATTTTTTGATCCGTGTAGGGTGTGAATACGGCTTCAATAGAGCTAGTCTGCATCGTGCCAATTGCGGAAGAAAAATGTGCTAAGAAAAATGGAGAAGAGCATGTCTGCATTTGGTGCTGCTCTTGGAACACTTAAATTTTGGTTTTGCTCTCCACATAGAAATTTGTAGGTTCCTGAACAAATATATATATTTTGAGCCAATGACATCTCTTGTGATAGGGTGAGATATGATAAGATTTATCTTTAATAAATTTATGTATAAAAAAGCTTGTAGCTTGAATTGATCCAGTGTAGCTTTCAGTGCAGGCAATGTAACAGGTTTTGATACTATGCAGAGTGAGGTTTGTCTCTTCCCTGTAATACAGGATAGATCTGCTTATTAGAGAAAAATAGCTCTAATTACTCCATATTTATAATTACTTGCTATAGAATAATTAAGAAAAAAACCTCTCTCTTCCCTAACAGTCTTAGCAGCTTCGGTCAGTGGGTTTGGGTCATGTTTCCTTTATAAGCCTGTTCAGAAACCAAGAAATAATCCCAATGAATCCGATGTTAATGACTTGCATTTGTTTGTGCTGTTTGATGTTGTGGATTAAACTTTCCTTTGGCGAGCCAGCGAAGTGC